CAATCCTCTAACACATTGCTTAAACTTTCCTCCCTGAAACAGTTTGATTGAAAACCCAGATAAATTATTTCTTGTGAGGAGAATTCAGAACATTCCTCTTTTCTTCCCCCCTCCCCCAACAGTTTAACACTGAGACTTTAGGAACAAATGCCCCAGTTTCAGCAAACACATTGCTCACCTCTGTGTTCCTACAAACCTTCAAACCTTTTATGAAACCTTTTTAGGAGGGTTCACATTTTGATTTAGTATGTTTTGGTTCAGACATCCTGACTGTGACATGTTGCTGGGTTGATAGGTCTTCCTCCCACTGTCATGTTCTTCCTAAATTTTGCTTTGCCAAATTACTAACAGAAATATCATCTGGCCATAAGTGACATCTCCACCACCAAAATAATCATTCTCCCACTTCTATTGACTAGCAATATAGGTCAATATGTTCACAATGTCTGAGGCTTTTTGGTATTCAGTGGAGTGACTTCCTTGTATAGGAGAAATTCCTAAGTTTCAAGATCTGCCAAGGGATTTAACTTTGTGTTATATACCACAAAGAATAAATTAGGCAGACAAATGAGAAAGGCCTTCTTCTCTTATTACAAAAGTCATTGTCCTGTCAGAGGGCAAGCTGATCCCCAACTTTATTACATTCAGTCCAGAGAGAGGATATGACTCTGTCTGAAAATTTTGGGGTATCTATGAATTTAAATAACTTTATTGTGCTTTATTGTTTTTTGTCTTATTATATTTATTGGTCATATTTTGTCCTTGATCTATTGATATAGATCAAAATTCAGATATTTTAGTTAGATAAATAAATAACATTTATGATATTATTACTGTTGGAGAGCTACAAAAGGAGCACCAATAAAAGCAGACATCAGAAGAAGGAGAATGGGAATCTGGTTGCCACAAGAACAGAAAGCTGCTCTTATTGGTCCCCCAACCTCTCAGACTAAAGACATAAATATAAGGACAGTTATGCAGTTTGCAAGAAATATTCCTTATAGCGACAAGCTTTCTGCAAACCTTTCCTTCTCCCTCTGTAGATTAAAAAAAGGAGCATCATTGAAAGAGATGCATGAGGCTCCTTGCTGAGATCCTCACAAGAGAGAAATCTTAGCTTCAGCAACATGCTGATCTATTTAAGAATGGAGATATCCATTTCCAGTGATTTTTATAGAAAAGCATAGCAGGAAGAGAGACAGCAGGAATCCAGATAATTGAATTTTCAAACTGCTGTTGTTACTCCATAACCACCTCACTCAGCAGTTGGATACCAATACCAATAATCCAATATCTCTTTTGTGATGCTCAAGTGACATCTTAGTTTTTCTGAGGCATTTTGGGAAAGCCAGATTAAAATTTCAGTGGAAAATACACCATAAAATAGTATACAATAGGTCACAAAAATCTTACTGAGAAGTCAAGCCATTGTGGCTTTTTATTGATAATACCCTAAGTTCTTATCTAATAAGCTTTATTTTTCTAGAAAGGCCTTACCCTGAAGGCTGCATGTTAACTAGGGGCAAACCCTGATAGGCCAAAAGGGAGATCTGCTGTCTTCATTGGGGTCTGTCAGAAGAATGGTCAAGAAAGCCATTTGGCCTCAGCCACAACTTCAAAGTGGGCCTTAGACTTGGATACTTGCTATTTTAATCAGCAAAGAGTAAGACAATCTCAGTCTTTGTTGATTGTTTGGGGTTTTATTTTATTTATATATTTACTTTGCTCTCAAGTTTTAAATATGTATGTTGGCTTTCACGTCACAAATTATAACAATGATGATTTCAATTTATATGGCCATCCATTTCAAAATCATGACCTGATAGCTAACAAGGTTATAAAATACATAAATATCAAAACTATATAAACAGAAACTGAGGTAAAAAGGAACCTCAACATTGACCAATCAACATAGACTCTGCCACACATCAGGTTCCCCATGCCCAGTGACAAAAACATGTCTAAGGCTTTACAACCAATCTAATGTTTGTGGGATGATTTTTCAAAGGTTGGGTGCCATGACATAAGACTCTCTCTTCCTGTGTCCTGCCAGGTTACATTTCTTAATAAACAGAATAACAGAATAACAGAGTTGGTGGAGACCTTGGAGATCTTCTAGTCTAAGCAGGAAATCCTATACCATTTCAGACAAATGGCTGTCCAGTCTCTTCTTTAAAACCCTCAGTATTAGAGCACCCACAACTTCTGGAGGCAAGTCATTCTGCTGATTAATTGTTCTATCTGTTAGGAAATTTCTCCTTCATTAGAGATTGATTTTCACCTTGATTAGTTTCCATCCATTATCTCTTCTCCTGCCTTCTGATGCTTTGGAGAATGTTTTACCCTTCATTTCCCTAATCATCTTTGTTGCATCTACACTCTTTCTAGAGTCTCAATATCATTTTTACATTGTGGTGACCAAAACTGGATGCAATATTCCAAGTGTGGTCTTACTGAGGCATCATAAAGTGTATTTACACTTCACATGATCTTCATTCTATCCCTTTGTTAATGTAGGCTAGGATTGCATTGGCTTTTTTTTCTCTTTTGGCAGCTATAGCACACTCCTGGCTCATATTTAGTAGTAGTAGTAGTAGTAGTAGTAGTAGTAGTAGTAGTAGTAGTAATAATAATAATAATAATAATAATAATAATAATAATAATAATAATAATAATAATAAAGTTGAAAGGGACCTTGGAGGTCAACTAGTCCAACGCCCTGCTCAGGCAGGAAACCCTATACCATTTCAGACAAATGGCTGTCCAGTCTCTTCTTAAAAACTTCTTCTGGAGGCAGGTTGTTCCACTGGTTAATTGTTCTGTCAGGAAGTTTCTCCTTAGTTCTAGGTTGCTTCTCTCCTTGATTAGTTTCCACCCGTTGTTCTTGCCATGCCTTCAGGCGCTTTGGAGAAAAGCTCGACTCCCTCTTCTTTGTGGCAGCCCCTGAGATATTGGAACACTGCTATCATGTCCCCCCTTGTCCTTCTCTTCATTAAACTAGACATACCCAATTCCATTACGGCTCCATGATCCCTCTCACAGTTACTACTATTGAGCAGGGTATCACCTATTCTATACCTCTGCATTTGTTTTTTCTTGCCTAAATGTAGAACCTTAATTTCTCACTATTGAATTTCATTTTTTTAGATAGGTCCAGTGCTCAGTCCAGTCTGTCAAGATCCTTCTTCTTGAGCCTATTTTCTGAAATATTGGCTCTTCCTGCCAGTTTGGTGCAAATTTGATGAGTTCCCCTTGTATCCCCTCATCTAAATCATTGATGAAAATATTGATGAGTACTGGGCCTAAGACAGAGCCTTGGGGTACCCCACTGCACATTACCTAAGACCCTGCCTCTCTTGCCAGATCTATAATGAGTTGAGTAGACATAATTCAAGAAGCGCTCTTCTCTGGAACTCCAAATTGGATCACTAAAAAGCCCCATTGCACTAAGGCTTTCAAAAAAAGCTGTTCTTCTTCTCTTCTATTATTGCTACTAGGAATAATCAGCTTCTTTTATATTGGGGCTTGGGGGCACATGAATCAGTCTTTTCTTTCCAAACCTAACTGGGATAACCTCTGCAGCAAGCTAAAGCTTCATTAGCTTTTTCTGAATTAAATTATCCACTTTTGGCAAATTTCAATTCATGTGTTATGAAGGTTCAGAAATCTTGGAATAAGTTGATACTGTAGTACTGTACTGTATATCAATATGTCAAATATTGTCATACTATGTTATGTTCAGAAATGAGTATCACCATATTGCCCTTTTACGTATCAGTTTAATATTACATAAATGCCATCCTCTAATGATCTGCCAGGTTATTTTAGTATTCAAATCTAGCAGTCTCGCATTTTTACCCAGCACTCTGCCTCCACACCACTTAATTGGCAATGGATGAAACAGACAACAGTACTATCTAAAAGAGATTGCTATGTATTTATTTTCCAGAAATTAAGATTTTAATAAGTATGCCCACACCACACATTAATTCCTTAACATTAAACCAGGGAAATGATTCCAATATTGCTTATTTTAATGGGTATTCATTAATTTTACAACATTTCATAACAAAACTTATCAAAAGCTTAATCCTTCCCTCCAACTGATTTACAGATTTCTAATTTCAGTAGTTGAGTGTGTATATATATATATATATATATATATATATATATATATATATACATATATGACATTTTTTACCTTGAGTCATTAACAGAAGGTATTTGTCCATGACCCCAGTTCAGGGCTGTAATTATTACAGTGGCTAGAAAATCCTTCTGATTCTAATAAAGAATTGGATTTCAAGATACTTAATCTATCCTTCCATGCCATGTTTTTGCATGTTTCAGGGCTCTTCTTTGGGAAGAGTGAAATTATATGAGGAAAAGATGTTTAAAATAGAGTAATTATAGGCCAAAGGCAACATTCCCATTTGCTGTAGTGCTATGAAAAGGGAAAGTTGACCATTTCATAGGTATTCCTGTTCAGAGCAGCTTTGGAAAAAAATGGAATTATTGTTCCAGAGCCCAGAAAAGCAAGCTAATAAAAAGTATCCCCTACTAACATAAGGTCTGTGGTCTCAGATTTTCACTGAAAACTATCTCCATTTTTATGGAATAACAACAGTTTGAAAGAGAATTAAAGAAAAATGCTCACTAGTTCAGAATTTGGGGTTAATCTATATGTATGGCAGTTTTTGGGGGGTGAAAGCTCAAAGAGTTTTATATACAACTCTGTATCTGGGAATTATAGAGTACTAGAAATAACTTCTGTAATTAATTGCTCCTATGGCTAGATGCCTTGAACTAGGGCCTGAACTTTGGATTGACTTATTGAATACTGATCTGATTTGTACTTTGTCTTTTTCTTTCCTTGTGCTTTCTGAACTGGAACTCTTGAAAGCTACACTAAGCTTTCTGCCCAACTCTCTAGTAGCATGCTGGTTGGCTGGGAGGGCATTAATCTACACAACTATATTTGCTTTCACTTTCCTGTAGTCTCTGGCTAAAAGAGACCAAACATGGAGAGGAAAACCCTGGCTTTCACTGAGAATCCTTAGGACCACAGAGATCTGGGTAAGAACATAATCTTCTTACTAACAAACCACAACAAAAAGAGTTTTGAATCAATTCTTTATTCTATTCCAACAAAGCACATTTCATTATTTGCTTGTTGTTCACAAGCAATTAGCAACAGAACTAATGTGATTGCATTCTTTTCATTCCTCTTTGTTTTTATACTAAGGCGTTGCTAGTGGAATTTAATAGTTAAACGTGTGGAGCTGTCATTGGGAAGGATTTTTTTTGGGTTTGTTATTTGTATGACCACCTATCTTAGAGCACAACTCTGGGAGTTCACAACAACAATAAAACTACAAAGCTATAACACCATAAAATTAAAATTAGAAACCCAATGCCTCAGTCATCTTAATAGGATGCTGAATAACTGTCCATAGGCTCACATCACTTCTGAGTGAAAAGTCATCTCTTTATGGCCTTCAGGGAAGCAAAAGGGTGGGGACCTGCCAGATTGCTAGAGGGACGGTGTTCCACAAGGTAGAAGCAGCCATGGTAAAGACATGCTTCAAAGGTCACACTAGAGGGCAATATTTAAGGGATGGGATATAGAGTGTGCCTATCTTATACCATCCTGGTGAGCTGGGCAGATACTCTCAGGGAGACTATATCTCCCTATATCAGGGAGATATAGTCCTGCAAATAACCTGGTACCATGCCATGTACAGATGTAAATGGGATAACCAATATCTTGAATTGCATCTGGAAACCAGTGAAACCCATGCAACAGGTATGTTAACTAAGGAGCGCCCAACACTGTGAACTAGTTGTAGCTTGCAGGTGGTCTTCAACAGTAGACCCATGTAGAATGCATTCCAGTAGTCCCAATAGGAAGTGACCAAGGCATGAGTGACTCTAAGCAAGGCATTCCCAGTTCAGGAAAGGGAGTAACTTGTCCAAGATGAATCTCTGAAAGTTCCCCTGGTCATAACTATTATCTGGTCCTCAAGCCAAAGCCATAAGTCTAGAAGGACCTCCAAATTGCTCACCCATTCAGCCTGAGGAGTGAAATAGTATCATTCAACCTAACCCAAACTGCAGATGTGTAACTGGATAAGATACTCAAATCACTTCCTTAAATTTTAAAAAAATAACACTAATACTGTAAAATATAATCAGATTCATTTACAAAATAAAATTATGCAAATAGACCTATTCCTACAGTAGTTACATTAAAACAGTAAAGAAAATGAGACATCTGCTGGCCATCGAACTCCAGCAAAGAAACATTAAAATGTGCCTCTTGAAGCAGTTCCATATTCTCAATCCCATAACAACAAGGGTTGTTCTAGTTAGCTGTTCATTAGAGGTTGAAATAAAAATATTCCCTCAGCAGGCTTTCAGCTTCGTACATGAGCAGATCCATGATGGTGCAAGGAAAGACTAACTTTAAGTACAGTATTGTAAAGCTCCTAAACTATCCAAGGTTTAACATGTAATTGCAAAGCTACATCCCATCCGTTAGAGCAGGGGGAATGATTATGAGCTTGGGAGTGTAGGGGGAAGTGAACATAGAACATCATCAGAGTTGGAAGGGTCATTGGAAGTCTGTTAGTCCAACCCTCTGCTTGAGCAGAGACCCTGTACCTTTTCAGACAAATGGTTGTCCAGTCTCTTTTTGAAAGCCTCCAGCAATGGAGCACCCACAACTTCTGAAGGGAAGCTCATCCACTGGTTGATTGTTCTCATGGTCAGATTGCTTCTCTCCTTGGTTAGTTTCCATCCATTGCTTCTTGTCTTGCCTTCTGGTGCTTTGGAAAATAAGATGACCCCTCTTTGTGGCAGTCCCTTACAAGTTCAGTAATAGTACAGAGGAGAACCAGTTTGATGTTAAGGCACCAGGATACAAAGCAGGTGCACAAAGCCAGGTAACCTTGGGTCACATGTTCTCTCTCAGCCCTATGAAGAAAGCAAGGGCAAACAACGGAAATTTTGCCAGGAAAACTGCAGAAATTAGTCCAGGTGTTTGCTAGGAGTCAATACTGATATGGCACACAAAAAAGTGATAGAGAGAGACTCATGCTGCACTTGACACAGAGTGACTAATTAAGAATCTTCAGTGGACAATAGATTGAAACCATTTCAAATAGTTGATTATCCTGTGAGAACATAAATATACATTCCTTTCTTATACTCTCAGCAAGCTAAACTTGGTAGTAAGAGATTTTGCTTAGACTGAGATTAAAAAAGAAGAGCATATTTAAAACAAATAACCAGCAGAGGGGGAAATCCAAATACAGGTTTTATATTAGTCCATCATGCAAACATTTGAGGAGAAAGAGAGTTCAAAGTTTCAGATATACCCCACTTTAAGAAAATTACCAATAAAGGAAGGCTGGAGGATTCCTATTACAGTTCCCAAGATTTTATGTTCTGCCCCAATTCTTGGCATTCAAATTCATTAAAGAATGTCCAGGTGATTCTTGTTTCCTTAACCATATTGTATAGTTATATCAGCTAATAGTTCTGCTTCTTTGCTGATCTTTTTCATGACTTAACAAATATCTTGTTTTGTGTTTCTCATCCATAATGCAAGATGGAAATTATATAGTCATATTTGGTACTCCTGTCCTGAGAAATTGTTCTTGATGTTACTCCCACACCAGGAAAGGAGTTGGTGACCATGATTTTAACCGCAGATTTATATGAGTTTTAAATATTCTGTCTATTTTTGTATTCCTTCCATTTCCCTTATTTCCCAATTTCTAAACACCCACACTAAGAACATATAAATGTGGACCAAATCCTAATGAAAAATAGAAGTACTTTACAAGCAAATATTAATGACTCCATCATGATTACTTTAACTGTTTAAGATAAGTTTGGGGAAAATAAATTGTGGAAAGACATTAAATTTAATTCATTTTTTTCTCCAGAACTTCATATTTCTGTTCTGATAACCTAAATCAAAGTTCAGCATGTAGGAAGTTAATTAGTTCATCACTCTTGGCTAGAAAACATTTGTGCAATTTCAATTTTACTCATACAAGATTCTCATTAATGAAAGTACCTGCTTGGGTCATCACTTTGAAGCTTGTGATTTAAAATTAAAAGCAAGAGTTAGGAAGAGCATTGATATGTCTATGATAAGAAATGATTCCTTGAACCAATTAGACATTATTAATGAAAGAGAATATGAAACAAAATCAATTCAAGGTTGAGTGTGACATATAGTGCAACTTGTTTCAGTTTTATTTACTAATGCTTGAAATGCTACTGTTCTGTTCTAAGTCTTTTTGGAACTTGAATTTTCAATTATTCAAGGGAAACTTCCACATCTCTAAAACTATTTGTAGAATCAGAATAACATAAGAAATGTCTTCTAGATGTAATACCCCAGACATTTCTAGACAACAAAGGCTGGTGATCATTAGTGAGAATCTAAGTAGCTAAGAGGTACAGAAGAAAATAGCAGAGAAATCATTCTCCCATGGTCTAAGCAGTTTCTCCAGCACTGAAAGAGAACTGGTCCAGCTGGATGTAGGTCTGCTCTCTATCCAGAGAGGAAGAAAAAAAAGAAAGAGGGAGGGGCAGGGAGAGAGAGAGAGAGAGAGAGAGAGAGAGAGAGAGAGAGAGAGGAATGAAGGAGGTTTCCTATGTTCACTGCCTGCTTCCCACAAGGAAATACATGGGGAAGCTGAAAGGAATTTGGAAGTTTTGGATGAAGTCTTGTTCATTTATGGGTGGTTGGTTGGTCTTGTGACTGGTTGAATCACTAGAATTATTGGATCACAAGGCTGACTGAATCATAAGACTGATTGAATCACAAGACTGATTCTGGACTTGTGACTTTGTGATTGGTTGCTGTGAGGGGCAGAATTCAACTGATGAGGGATTGATTGGTTCTGTTGTTGGTTGTTGGTTCAGATGATCCACTTTCTTATTGATTCATAAGCTGGTTCTAAGTCAATATGTTTGTTGATGGATACATTGGTAGAATGCCTGGTGGCCAAAGACTTTGGCTTCATCCCAGTCAAACTGGTGTAGTTTGTTGTTAGTGTGATGGTTGATCAGGGACCTCAGGTCATGCTGTTTGACAGCCAACTGGTGTTCATGAATTCTATTTTTTAACTATTGTCCTGTCTGCCTGAAGTAGAACTGGTTACAATTGTTGAATATTATGTTGCTGCTGTCTTTTTTCCGTGTTCTGTCTTTGATCTTTGCAAGTTCCTATCTGAGTGTGAATGTGGGTTTGTGGGCTATTTTATTCCTAGGGACTGCAGTAGTCTTGCAGCCACTTCTGATGTGCCTTTGATGTATGGCAGGACTTGTTTCTGTGTTGTGTCTTGCTGTGTGTTTTTGGGGGGGTTGGGTGCTATGCATCATAATATAAAGTTCTTGGGATAATTATTACAGAGGAAAATGTTGAAAAGATGTTTCTCCTCTGCTTCTCTTAGGGCTTTGGTATTGCAGTATGTTCACTGTACATGTACAGGCATAAACACAAAAGGAAAAAGGAAAAGGAAATGAGATGAAAGAGAAACACAAGAGAAAACTCAGGTGCCAGTTGCAACAATTGCGGAGTTCTTACACAGATTATTTTGAATGGAATCAATTCAGGGAATATAATAACAAAAAAATGTACATTTTAACTCAATCAGGCTAAAACATCCTCTGTTTTGGTAGGGTCCAGTTTAAAGGGGGGAATTGCTTTGTTTTAACTGTCTTTTGTTGTTTTTAGGCTTTTAATAAGTTTAACTCTTACAATTAATTTCAACAGGCAAATATGAATAACCAGCTTCATAATTGCACTTCTTTCACAGGATTGGGAAACTTTAGGATTGGGAAACTTTAGTACAGGCTGTCCTGTACTTGTGGATTTCAACTCCCAGAATTTCTCAACCAGCAGGGACACCCTTACTCTAGAATATATTCAAGGAAAGGGACTTTCTTCTTGTTGCAGTTTCTGGTACATCATTCAAAACCTAAATGCAATTCAACATAGTTTTAAAAAATGTATAGGATTATACAGTCATTCAAATTAAGTAGAATTATAAATT